CACAAAGACAATGCCTTCGGTCTTGCATAATGGGGGCATTGCTCTTTGTAAGCCTTCCTCCGATTATCAACCCCCCAGCCCGTTTCTCTCCCTCACACTCACCGTGAATCTAAATTTGTTGTTTCTTCTTTCTCTTGATTGACATCGCCGATGCTCTTTCGTACGGGTAGCGTGAGCAGTTTGGGGTCGATGATCCCTTCCATCTCCTCCTTTTTCTTCAAGCGATCCTCGACGGAAACCGGCTTGAAGGCCGTGAGCACGGAGGGATCAGCCAAGGCGAGGTTGGAGGGGATAGAGAGTGTGGAGGAGGAGGGAGGCGGTGGAGGAGGTGGAGGAGGGGGAGGACTTGTGTGCTCAGCGGAGGTGTGAAGGGAGGAAGAGGAACGGGCGCCGATACTTGGAAGCAGGGACGATAAAAATCTTATTCTAGCCACACGCTGCAACAAAGTAGGGGGAAGACGCAGACTAGAACCATTTCTAGGTAATCTTATGGCTGATTTCGCCGTCGAGTTGCAATGTCTTGTGCAAGAAAGAGACGAGGCCAGAGACCGGGATATGGCCTCTGTCATTGTACGACTCCTCGAAGAGCAGCGCCCAACCCTAAAAATGGCGTGGCGCAGCATATCTGTGGCCATACGTGCATGTTTATGTGTCAAAGACAAAGGCTGACCAGGGGCATGTCTACATGCAAGCAAGAAGGGGTGGCCAAGAGTCGGGCCCACCAGGTTTTGAGCCTCAGTCCCTCCTTCTCTCGAGGAGGTTCCTTGTGATGTTTCTCGTCCGCCCTTCATTGAGCAGGGCAACGGCTGCTTCCACTCGAAAATGCCATCCAACAAGAAGGACAGGTACGAGACACGTCCGGCCATGGACGTAGACTTCATTCGGGTTGTGCCCATGTATGCTCAGGATTTTTGAGAAGTGCCACAGCTTTGTGGCCAAGGCGAAGCAAGAGCTCTCGCAAGGAGATGGTCCCCGTGGTGTTTATCGTACTCGTCAAATCCGCCGAGGCCTGAGAGATGACAGGCAAAAAGGCCGTCTGGTATTGCGCATCTGAATTGTGGACTTGAGGATATCTAAAAAAATGATGATGATGCCGGGATAATTTATGAGAAAGCGTTGTTTTCGGGGCAAATCTGCATTCGTACACAAAGGTTGATATGGCGGCGACAGATATAAAATTTCCAACACCCATCAAATATTCGGTAGCTGCATGTGACATGCGCGTTTCTAAAACAACTTTGCAAGTCTACATGGACAACATAGTTTCTTTTCCAACACAGCATTCAGTAATCTCCCCACACCAGTTTAATAGCTATCTTGAGATATGTTCTCAATCGGTTTGCATGCTTGTTTTTCAAAGATTTCAATACTGGAGTTAGCCTTTCGGCCGCCGGCGAAATGTGGCCGGTATTTGACCGCAGCTCCCCTGACTTTACCCCAAATAGAGCAGAGAAAAGCCATAAACAGCGAGAAACTTACCCCCGAAATCTCGTCGGCATTGGTAGTGCTTGCAATTGTGTATCTAAGAAGGGCAATGAGGACATTGCGGTCCAAGAATAAACCGTTACGTTTGTACTCAAATTGATATCTCCGACAGAAGGCAACCATGCGGTCGAATTTGACATCTTGAAGCCGCCGGCTGTCTCACTGATTCGGATTCTTCGTGTCATAGTTATGACCTGACAACTATTACGTGCTGAGCGATTTTCTACGCGCGATTCGCATGGCGCACTGCTGAAAGCTTTCATGCAACGTGCAACACCCTTGGTGTTTCCTGCGTTCTTCATTGAAAGGCATGCGTTACTCACGTTTTTTCACCCCTTACATTGGCAGGTTTTTTGGCCATACGTCAAAGCGGAAATCATCGCTGTGGATTTATCTCGCTTCGGGGACGCGGACAGCTCACTTGACCCTTGAAGAGCGTCAAAAGGTCGTGCATACCTCCTCTTAATGTGGTAGCTTGCGAAATACCGGTGCCAAATCACAAAGATTTGCATTTTTTGTACGCACTAGAATCCTCCAACATCCCCCCAGTCCTTCTGTCTCCCGCGTTCTCCTCTTCCGTTCTCTGCCCACCTTTTGACGGGATTTTTATGTCTTCCCCTCCATCCTCTCAAGGTAACCCCAGCATCCCTTCCGGTGCCACCCCATCTCCCAATCACCCTTGCCACGTCTTTACCTGTGAATAGAGGCCGGGAGACCATCCGCCTTTCATCGACCCGACAATTTTAAACGTGTGTCCCAATCTGCATGCTGAAAATCCTCCTCGGTGCGTTCTGTCAAGTACTTAACGGGCGGTCGGTGGCGCAGGCGGGATTCACAGAATCTCGGAACATTTTAATCGAACCTCGGCTCTTTTTCCCTCGCGACCTGGAAGGACAGTGGGGTAAAAACTCGAATTCAAGCCCCAGGGGCAGGAGGAAAAGGACGTGGGCGACCGACTGAGGCCGGCAGGGGAGGGGGCAGAGCAGGCAGACCAACGGCCGAGCCTGAGGGAGGCAGCGAGGCGGCGAAGGAAGGAAAAAATCGAGAGGAGGACGCGACAGGAGGAGATGGTGTGTGGATGAGTCCACCTGCGAGCGACCAGGCCAGAAACATCGCAGGCGCCTGCGTGGGCCCCCGTTTCCATCAGGAGGAGGCGAGCATCAGAGGGAAGACAATCCTAGGACGGGATATGGAACCGAGCCGGAGTACGAAGGAACCTAGAAGGGGTGATATCGAGGCAGT